CAAGAAAATACAAAACAAATAATTGAAAAAAAAACTATAAAAGTAATAACTTATTTTAAACCTTCTGGCAATCTACTTAATAGCAAAATGAAGTAAAGAATTAAAAAGCTTTACGAGTTACACAATAAACTTATAACTTAAAAATTAAATTAAAATTTAATAGCCAAGAGTTATATATAATTACTACACAATAAATATGCAAATAATCCTAGCAATAAAATCATGCAAATAATTCTAGAAATAAAATCATGCATAATTTTCTAGGAAAGTCATGCTCAAAATCTATAACATGCAAATTAAACTACAAATCTAGAAAATAATGAACATGTGTAGTATACTAAAAAAGTAGAACAATAATAAGCATGCCAATTTAACTAAAAAATTTAAACACTTATGAGCATGCAAAATTATATTATAAAATAAAGAAGCATGCAAATCATGGTAAGAAATTAGGAATCTAAACATGTAGCATGTATCTATTTGTCCAATTTCATGGGAAATATATAATCTGTTTCAAGATTGTTGTACAAATGGTGTAAATTAAATAAAATGAATAGATTCATAATTAATTAAATTTATATTACATAACAAGAAATCATGAATCTAAATCATGCTGGAGACTACAACTTGATGAACAGAAAATATTTAACAAAATCAAATACTTAAATAAGATAGTAAAGAAAATAAACCGAAGCTTGTGTGATACCACAGTCCCCTTAAAGCAGATTTGCTGCCTCACCATGGGTGCTGGAGGTATGTCGGCGTCTGTCTCCCAGGATACGACGGTTTAGAACCCGCTAATGCAGAAGCACCTTCTGTTTAGCTCTGGCGAACTAACAATGGTAGCACTCTCTCACATAGGAAGAATATATTATAGGAGTAGACTGACTATAATATGGGAGCAAAAATTTTTGTACTTCAACCAAAGAGGATGGTCTTCTTTTATACACAATGGGGAGGAGGAGAGAACTTAGCTTATTTTGTGATCATTTTCACAATGTTGAGCATGTCCTTATATAGGCATCTTTGGCAAGACATATGGCAAGGCCATGTGTACCTCATGGCTTCCAAAACCATGTGTCCGTCATGGTTAGGCCATGCGTGCCACATGGTTTCCAACATTAGGCCACACCATGTATACCATATGGTTTCCAGCATTAGGCCATTCATCCACACATCCATACCACATGTTAAATGCACAATCATCATTCTCAATCTCTCATTTATGAGACCAACTTAATGAAACAATTTTTCATTCCATCCTCAAACCAAAAAACCATATTTTCCAACAAACAATACCATGTATGAGGAGAAGGCTCAGAGAATATCGGAAGCTGCAATAGCATTGAAGGACGAAGCAGCAAATGCTTGGGATAATGTTAATTCTATGCGCAATACCATTCAAGAGATTGTGAATGAAGAAATTGTTGCTCAAGAAGCTGTTCAGAAAGCAACAATGGCCCTTTCTTTGGCTGAAGCGAGGCTTCAAGTGGTAGTGGATTCGCTAGAAGCTGCGAAAGGAAGAAAGAGTGATTTAGAATATGAAAGTGGAGGGGAAGAATCGAATATATTGAGGAAAGATGAGGAAGCAGTCTTGGTTGCTCGAGATTTATGAAGCACGGACACTTCTTCGGAGGCAACGTATGGGTGTTGGACACGTGTCGGAAACGGACACGGACACGAGTTGGACACGTGGCTGACACTCTACCTAATGTGTCCCTCCTTTTTTTTGAATTTTTGCAGTTCAGACACTCTTGGATACGTTATGGACACGTTGAAAATAGGGAGAAACCCTAACCCAGGAGACAGAGAGAAACCCTAACCCATTGAAGACAGAGAAAGAGAAAGGGGAAGAACCTATTGAAGCCCTAGATCGAGGCTCGATCGAGGTATGTTCTTACAATGTGTATGTTCGACTCTCTCTCTCTCTCCCTCTATTCGATGGTCTCTCTTCATCGTCGAACATGTTCATCTTCTTCGACTCTCTCTTTCTCTCTGTTCGGTGCTCTATTCTTCGTTTCTTTCGTATCTCTCTCTCTCTCTATGTTCATCTCTCTTGTTTGCTCTCTCCTTTTTTATTCGACTCTCTCTCCCTCTTTTATTCTTTATTTCTTTTTCTTTTTTTCACCTTTTTTGTTTTTAGTAATAAATTTTTTTCTATATTTTTTAATATTCTTGTTTGCTAAACATTAAAATATAGAATAAATTATTTTTATTTGTAGAAAAAAATTGGAAATGATATTTAATATTAAAGTAAATAAATAAATAAATAAATAATTATATATATTGAGCATGTCCGCAGTGTGTCGTGTCCCTTATTTTTTTAAAATTTGAGTGTCCACGTGTGCGCGTCGTGTCCCGTGTCCGTATCCGTATCCGTGCTTCACAGCTCGGGATGATATTAGAGTTTGTCAAGCTACTTTGACAAATTTGGAGGTAGAGCTGAGACAATTGTAAAGCAGAAAAGAGGAATTGCAAAAAGAAGTGGACCAGCTATGAGGTTGCAAAGCAAGCGGAAATGAATGCCTTAAAAACGGAGGAAGATGTGGCAAATGTCATGCATTTAGCAGAGAAAGCTATTGCTTTTGAACTTGAGGCGGCACACGTCACTATCCAAACTCGTCCCTATAGGTTTAGCGTCGTAACCGACCAGTAATCCTGGGATTACCAAAGGCCTCTGAATAGATCATCACATAATAAAGGGCTGCAGAAGCAAATATAAAACATACATAGACCATTGAGCTGTGCTGACATACATGGGACAAAAATTTAAAACTCATATACATATACCCACATATGACGTCATATACATATCCAGCTTACATCGTCAACCATATACCACAAAAGAACTGTTCTTTAAACAAACAATAGAAAATAATTAAACTTGCATCATGTTCACAAAACTTGACCTCTTGACTTTTAACGGAACCTCCTCGGGAGGCACAAAGGTTGGCTGACAAAACAGAATTCTAAGCGATCATCATTGAGCCTGGCCACGCGCCTGGTCTCCTACATACATAAATAATACAGTGAGCTGGAGCCTAGTGAATAATAACAGAGTAAATGTTTTAATGAATGATGCCTATAACAGATTCAGAATTCAGATTCTTATTCAGAAGCAGATACATATTCATATTCATGTTCAAAGTTCATACATTTCACATGATCATACGTGGTATATCCATTAGCGTTAACAAATCCGATGACCCATGAAGGGACGGCCATAAAGGCATTCCGATGACCCATAAAGGGACGGCCATAAAGGCATTCCGATGACTCATGTGCATAGAGACGTTTCCGATGATCCATAAAGACATTCTGATTACCCATAAAGGGACGCATGTCATATGATGCTAAGGATGCCACAAATACATTTTAGAAACTTGGACAATCATTCATTCATACAAAACATAGTATTTCAGAAAACTGATCATTTCATATCATCAAAAAATAATTAAAGTTAAACATAACTTTACAGAGTTATTACTCACAGATAACTTCGATAGCGGAACAAATGGATCAAACAGCTTACGGCGCGTGACCTACACAAACATGGAACGGATTCGCATATTGAAACACACACTCGGATAGTACTTAATTTATTTCATTTCGTTCTTAGTGTGTTTCTAGCCTTTATCCTCATTATTATGTCTTAATTAGGGCTTAGGAATGCCTAAGATGTAATGAGGATGCCAAAATGTAACTCAGAACACTTAGTCAAATTTTCAAAAACAAGGGAGTCCGCTCGAGCGGTTTGTAAAGTCTGCAAAAGTACTGGTTGCGTGATTTTTCCGCTCGACGAATGCTCGATGGTCGCTCTAGTGTAAGACTAAGTAAACAGGGTTCTCGATTGAGCACAACTTTGGTCGCTCGAGCGGTATGCAAAATTTTGGAAAACTTCTGGGAGCATGAATTTTACGCTCGAGCCACCTTCTTCTCGCTCGAGCTGAGATGCAAAGCTAAGGGTGGTCGCTCGAGCGGTGATGCAGAATTCTGGAATTTCCAGATTGATGTTCTAAGTCCAAAACTCAAATTCAAAGCTGCAAAACACATCTTTTGGGCCCAAAACTTGGGAAAACATGTTCAAACTTGTAAAGCATTGAGAATTAAAGATCGTTTCACAAAATCAAAGCTCAAAAGTATGCCAATTGTGTAATAGGAAACTTGAAACTTAAAGAACAAAACACGAGGATAACATGCATGTAACCAATTGAATTCAAAGCCTTCAAATCATAATCAAATGAGTTGTTTAGTTCAAAAACATGTTGAATTCCTTGAACAAAACCAAGATGAGAACATGTATGTAGAAATTCTTTGAAAACTAACTCAAAATGCTATGATATATGCATGCAGGCATGATATAGTTCTTGATTCACTCTTCTAAGCTTAATTCTGGCATTAATCTTAAATTTCCTTTGAATTCACATGTAAATGAGCTTGAAGTTACAAAATGTAAGTTGAATTCTTACATACAACTCTCAATTTCCTTGAACTCTAGCAAGCTTGAGTGATTTTCCAAGTTATCTAGCAATTCTCCCTTATTGTTTCCAATTCTCCAAAATTTGATCCTAATTCCTCTCTCTCTCTTTCTCTCTCTCTCACTCTCACGGTTTAGAACTCAAAAAGATGATAAATTGTAATGTATTCAAGGGTTCTAGAAGCTATAGTGGCTTTATATATGTTTAATTAGTGGATTTAATTCATTCTTGATTAGGCTAATCACTTATATTTATTTTATTCTAATTATTTCATTCCGAATTAAATTTCAATCAAACCTACCACAAAATTCTAAAAATTCCAAATAACACATAACCCAAGTCAATTTCATGATCAGATGCCAATAAGGCCTTCAATTTGTAGAACAAGACAGAAACACAAACAGATATTTCTATGACAGACAGATACAAACACAAATAATGCGACACACATGCAATTAATTCAGAATTTCTTCTTAATTACTTATTTGGCATCCTTAATCATGGTTTAACAGTTAATCACAGGTTGGGGTTGTTACAGCACGACATGTAAATGATGCTGAGATTGCCTTACAAGGAGCCGAAAAAGATGTCTCCGTTTCTTATGTTGATTGTGCGGAAACTATTGTACACCAAAGTGAGGACGAATTGGTTGAGGAGGGAAAGTTGATTCAAGGAAATTCAGGTGGTGGTGTTATTGAAAGGGAAATAGATGTGCAAATTCTGGACAAGCGCCTTAACTTTGTGCTTTTACCAGGTACCCAATTTGATGGATTTGGCAGAGTTTTGAAGAACCAAAAAGTTTATCTTCAGATAGTGATCAAGAAAATGGAAAAATAAGTTTAGAGTCATCAAAAGATACTGAAATAGATTCAGAAAAGTCAAAGAACATGGTTCAAACAAAAAAGCAAGATTTACAGAAGGATTTGACGAGGGAAGGATCACCATTTAATGCTCCAAAAGCATTGCTGAAGAAATCTTCTCGTTTCTTCTCTGCATCATACTTCTTTTCAGATGGGACTGAGTTCACACCAGCAATCCCTTTTCCATGGTCTTATTGAGTCTGCAAGGAAGCATTTGCCTAAGCTCGTCGTTGGCTCATTGCTCATTGGAGCCGGGTATATGCAACGTTTTCAAAGATGAAATTTCTCTGTCTATGATCCTTTTTACAGTAATATTTATTACATGTATCCCTTTGAATATTAGTTGACAGTTGTTACTGATTTTAGATTTTTATCATCAATTATTTCTGGTAACAGGATTTGTGAACATTTATTAGATTTCTATATCTGATACAAAAGTTTATTTTACCACAATTTCATAACTGTGTA